TTATGTGTAATATTTAATTTTTTTTATAATTACATAATATTTTTACTAAAAATTACTTATACATAGAAATGTATAAATATAAATGTAAAAATTTCAATTAATGCAATTAGTACAAATAATAAGCAATAATTTTATTTAATGTTTATTTGGATATTTTCGACAATTCCATGACTTTTAGAAATAAAGCACAAAGAATTGATATAATCTGGTACAAAAATGAGAAAAACTTATTATGTTATGTAACAATTCAAATAAACAAGATCCTTACTTGATAACATTGGGCAGAATTTATTGTAAATAGCTTCCAACACGAGAATCCAGCACATTTTTCCCCAATTCTCTCAATCATTATCATTAACTATAATACAAAATAAAAATATTAATTAATTATATTTATTAATACTGTAAATAAATACTTAAATTAATTGTTTTGTTTTTACCTTGTAGTGATATATTTGAATGTTTGTGATATGTTGTGAATACAAATGTTGTTTTTTCTTGAAATGCGTTACCAATAAATTGTTTAATATATGATACGATTTGTTGGCCTCGGAATTGACTGCCGACGCGTTGAATATAACAAATATAAAGCATAAAATCAATTGAGACATAATATATCTCCAAATTATTTTCTCAAATAATGAATCTGTTTTAAATATGAGAATATAAGCGGCAAATACGGATGATATACCAAATGTTACCCAAAAATTAAGCAAATATTTGGACCAAAAATTTCTATTATACTCATCTATTTCTATATGAAGTGAATTAAGTGAATGTATAATTTCTTTGTTGTTTAAAAATGATTTGTTGTTTAAATTTTCATTGAGTTGTTTTATTTTAATTCGCAAATAATTACAAATCAAATAAAAATAGATGACTGGATATATGATTAAATTGTAGGCATAATAAGCAAATACAATAATAATCATGGTATTAGGTACACCATAAATTAAAGTTTCAAATAGTGTGCAATTCATGGCATACGGTATTAAAGGTAAGAAACAGTGTATTAAAGGGATTATTCTCTCGTTGTTTAATCTGAGAAAATATATGATTTGATGAGTCTTTTGAACTAATTTTATGACTTGTGTCCCATTTGTAAGACCAATGGTTTTAGGGGTTACGAAACCGGCCATCATTTGAAACACCAGCAAATATGATGGCTTTATATCCTTTGAGTAATTATAATAACAAATTATCTGTGTAATTAATATAAATATGACAAATAAGTTGGATCCAACGTTGCAGTGGACAGTCATTCCCATGAAATGAGCAAAATCTCCAAATAACTTGAATATGAATTCATTGTCTTTGGCCACGAATACCATAAATGTGTTCTTAATTAAGACTGCCGTCAATGTCATGAATATAATGATTGGGGAATGAAATGAATGTCTGAAGTAATCTTGTCGTGTATTTGTTAGACATAAACCAATTCTATACAAATGAATGTCCACTAAGTCTATGGTCAAGTGTTTTGGCAATAAATGGTTTGTGTTCAATGAAATTGACATTATTAATCTTAAAGGTTTGAACTGGTAAATTAGTTTGTATCAGTATTACATAATTAAACAATTACACAAATTAGCGTTTTAATATAATGTTGAAATACTAACAACATTTACTGTATTAATATTAATACCGTAATTAAAATTAGTATTTATTAAAATTATAGTGTAGTGATAATAATTACCAATATGCGAGCACTCATTTCGTGACAATACTTTGTCTCATAGACTAATTATCTCTTATATTAAAAAATTATTTATTGACCATTAACTTATTATTTATTCCATTAATGATTATTAACTAATTATTTATTTGTGGAAAATACCGGTAGTTATTATTAAAATATTAATTAAATACTAATATTATCCTTTAACTAATCTTATAAAATTAGATTTATAATATTTATAGTAATTGTTATACTTTATTGTTAAGAAACAATTAACTAACTTGTAGGAGTCAATAATATTTTAGAAATAATTAAAAAAATTAAAACACTTATAATTGAATAAGTTATACTGTAAATATATAATTAATAGTCTAAAAATAAAAACTAACGACTTATTAAATAACTATTATAATGTATGCTACTTGAACAATAAGAAGCATATAAATGACAAAAAATACATTTCTGAGGCAAATGTACCCATAAAATGTCAAGTATGGAATTTTCCATTAAAGTATCTGACATATTATATTTTAAAAGGCATTATTTTATTTTGTGATAACCTTCGTAATATAAATATTTATTTTTAGGATTCAAGGGAATACTAAACACCGTAATAAATATAAATATAAAATTATTTAAACAATAAAAGATATAATTTATTCAAAAATATACTGCATTGTATAAAAAGTAAGAATATGAGTGAATTGACTGTAGAGTAGGTATGTCTACATTGGGGGCACTTTCTTGAGTTCCTCTTTGAGTATAGTCTCCGCCTGTGAGGCCAACATCTGGACGCCTTCCAGAAGTGCTTTCCCGAGATCAGTGTCCGGCTTAAGATATGTCAGCTCTCTCTCGATGTCCTGAACGAAGGCAATGGTCTTCTGTAAGCCACTGATGAGCTCCGCTTTGCCCGTCTTCGTCAGTGTGTCGATGGCTTTGCGCGCCTCGTCTAAGAGCTCCGACAGCTGTCTCAGAATGGCGTCCTTTATGTCATCGTTCACTTCCGGCGGATCAATCTTCTTGAGTTCGGACTGCAAGTAGATCTCTGCGTCCTGGACCAGCTTCTCCACGCCGTTCCACAAGATTTTGCCCAAATCGGTGGTCGGGTTCATGAGCTTCACTTTGGTGTCGATGGTTATGACGAAAGCGATGGCGTCCTTAAGACCTTTTCTCAGCTCAATCTTCCCGGTCTTCGTCAGAGTGTCGATAGCTTTGCGCGCCTCCTCTAACAGATGGGACACCGTTTGCATGATCTGGTCTTTGATGTCATCGTTGGCTTTGTTTACGGCAAACGCATCCGACGCTAAAGTATGCAAAATGATTAGATTTAATGAATCGTTAAATTAAATGTAAGAAAACATACCATAAATTGCAGTCAGGAATAAGAAACCAAAAACTACAAACTTCATTTTTATTTTTGGTAAAGTGTGGTATTTTTAGAAAGTTTTAGGTTAGTAGTGAACTACTTGAGTGAATTAATATAACTAAATTAAAGTCATTATATACTATGATTTAATCAATTTAACTATTGATTAAATCTAATAATCACTAGAAAACTATGAAATTGATATAAACGAAAGGATTTCATATAATAGTTTCAAGATTAATTTCAATGTCTGTTATATTTCTCAAGTAGAATAATTAAATAATTATCAATATTTTAATATTACAGATAATTTGTGTCTGCTTGTCACGTATTTCACTAAATCGGACTGTAATCCACGTAATATATAATTAATTTATGTAAATTTCATAAAACTAAATGTTTTCTGATTAATTATTTATAAGTTATTTATTTGACAACAATTGCTTTGTGTAATAAAGAATAATATTTTGTTTTTATATTTACTAGATATTTGATGAGATTAAAAAACAAAAAGTGCAAAAAAAACATATCAAACCCATAGCTACTGTTTTTATAACTCAAGTTAACCATAAGTCTTATAATCTAATAAGAATTTTGAAATAAGATATAATTTTTTAAATACCGTACTATCAGATAATTCTTTAGGTTTCTGTAGTTGTAGAATATAATATATTATATTATATTGGAGTTGGATTTATTGCAATTATAGTTTAATAATGAATTTAATTAATTAATTGAATAAATTTGCAACCCTTATACCATAAGATATTGCAATTATAGTTAAACTATTGTTTTGGAAATCTATGAGAAAAGTCTTAGAGAAATACTATTTATATTCTGTAGTATTTTTGTAATAAACAACTTAATAATTATATACTTTTTAAAATAACTTAATAACTATGTTATTAAAATGATAACAATAGTTCCTTTTTTGGGCAAAGTAAATATAATTAATGATTAATATTAAAAAACAATCAAACATTAAAAAATATATACATAAGCATATATTTGTAAATTTCAATTTAATAGCCATAACTTTCTTAAGTTCTTACTTGATTGTATATTTATCAATCATATTATTGATATTCAAGTATTTCTAATCTCTTAGATTAGAAATTGTTGTTATGGAATATAGCAATGTCTAATTTAAAAGCTAGAAAAATGGCTAGTAAACATTATATTGTTATATTAATTATTAGTTTAGTTAAATATGATAAATGTGATAATTTAATAATTACACAAAATTTGTCAATGAAATCATTGATTGGACAAAATTGTAATTTAAACAATGATTGTAAGGACAAACATAGCCTATGTTTTGACAACAAGTGTTTGTGTGAACCAAACTACAGACCAATTGGTGGTAAATGTCGTGTATTTATTTGTTCAATGGATACTGATTGTCAAGAGTATGACTTGAATCGTAAATGTGACCAAAACTATGGGTTATGTGTCTGTAAAAGCAATTTGTATACTAATCCTTATAATAGAAAATGTCTCAACTTTTGTGCCAATCATACAGAATGTGATTCACAAAGACATCAGCTATGCGTTGATAATCGCTGTAAATGTAATGTCAACTATGTATTAGACATATCCAGGACCTATTGTCAAATTCAAGTTTGCCAACAGAACGATGATTGTCTAAAATTTGACAAAAATATGGTCTGTATTAGTAGCAAATGTGTTTGTGGCCACGAGTTTCATAAGTCATTAAATTCAATGCAATGTATGCCTCAAAATAAGCCAAAATCCTTTTTCTGGTATTTCGGAGCATTTATTTGTGTTATACTTGTTATGAGTTTATATTATGTAAGGAGAAGAAAATTTAATTATTCAAACGCTTTCCACCGAAAATAAAATTAAGACATTTTTATTATACATTGTAAATTTGATATTTTAAATTTGTATTCTTAATATAACACATGTTATAATTTAGATTAGATAAATAATTTAATAAAAGACAAAAAAGTTGCCTGATGGCCAGTACTGATTAAAGTCATCCAAATATGGTTGTAGTCTGTAGTCAAGTAATATCATATTCTGAGCTGTCAGTGCTTTGAACACTATTATCGTGACGACTGTCCATAAGGACACAGTTATGCCGACTGTCCAATCAATGCCAGCCACCAATAATCTCCTAAATAAACTTCTGTTGTTTTGTTTGTCAAAGTATTCGGGAATACCTTTGCGTTGAATCACTTGATGGACCAGTTCTTTGGATGGCTTCTTGAGATCATAGGCTAATCCAATACATCGCATGAATTGAATCAAAAGAGAGGATGGGTTATAGGACTCCCAAAAGCTGCGTTCACTGGACGAGTAGTCCCAGGGAAAGGTGTGGTGATAGTTATGGTTGCCCTCTCCCAGTGACAAGTAGATGACCAGTCGGTTCTCCGTGGGTCTCATATGCCGGTCGTATGGACGCCAACCCACATAATGGGCCAAAGAGTTGACAGTAAATAAGTGGTGCAAAACCACACATATTCTCAACGGACCGCACAGTAAGAAGGCTGTCAGCAGGCTTTCTCGCCATAAGTACCAGGGTATAAGTGTGGGTATAATTAAGCCGAATATAAAAGCTAATGGTATATAGAATTTGTGTTGAAATCTGAGGAGTGGGTCGTTGTAGAGGTCGTCGAAAGAAAGTTTGCTTCCGTAGTGCTTAACGATCTCCTGTTTCTTGAGGAGCCACCACCCGATGTGCGCGTAAAACATGCCTCGACTCGGGTTCTTAGGGTCCTGTTCCTGGTCTGTCCACTTGTGGTGTGTCCGGTGGTCGCGGGCATAGGCCAGTGCACTGCCATTGAATGTTGTGGTTTGCAGTATAAGTAGCAATAGTTTGAACGGAAACCGAACTTTAAATGACTTGTGAGCCCATAGTCTGTGTCCACCTGTAGTACAGTTATATAAGTTACTAATTGTATAATGATTTTGATAAATAAAGTTTTATTAGTCTTGTTTACTTAAATATTTTAAAATAGGTAATTATTACAAATAAAAACTGTTTTCATACATACCGACCGACATTCCCAGTCCCGAGAATATGGATAAAATCGAGACAAATATAACGGTAGGAAATGTAACATCTGTTACGAGACCGTAATATAAAGCATAAATCGCTGTTATATGTAAGACCACCAGAAATATAAGGTTTGACCACTTGATTTGACTAAAGCCATACCCAAACAAAGTGCAAAATTGTTTTTTAACGCATTCATTCTCAAATTTGTACTCATTTTCAGCGATGGTTATATTAATGTCACCATTTAATTTAATATCGTTATTGTTTTCATCGTTTGCACAGTCAGTCATCTTATAGTCAGTAATGTTTATGCATATATTGAATAGGTATTGAATTTGAAAATTTCAAACTTCTTATTAATGTAAAGAATAATTTAAAGATTATTGAAAGCTTTTAATTTGAATTATAAATGAATAATTACTAATTCAAAGAAATATATATATCAGCAGGAAGTCCATACACACACGCACACACAAAATATTAAAAACAATTAATGGATAATTAACAAATAATTAATTAAAATGTCCTTTTGTGAATAGCCATCAAAATTACTTGACGTCATAATTACACCAAAATGTATTTTGAGTACTTTTTAGATAGTATTTATTTGAATAAAGACATAAACATTTTGTGCATTATAAGTGCAAATATAAAATACAATGAAACTTTTATGGAAAAATATTTAAACCAAGGATTTCTGTGGAAGTAATTTAGTTAATTTTACTTTTGAATAGTTGTTTTATTTTTTATAAATTAATAATTAGCATGTTCACCCGTGCGCCTAAATTTCAATATAGTTAATTATTAATTTTTTATCAATATGATATCAGTAAAATACAATAAGTTCAATTTATTATACCGTATTCATTGCCTTTGAATTGTAATTAAATATATTGAAAACCTTTATTTGATCATAATTACATGCAATTTTTATAATTAACAAATTAATAAACACATTACCGGTAATCTTTTATATTATTAATAAATTCTCTTTCAAATAATAATTGTTATATTTTTTATATAGTATACACGAATACAGTAACAATGTTTCTATAATTATATTTTGAACATGCCTTGATAATGTTATTATTAATTAAAATTAGTTTAATAAAATATTTTGTAATGTAGAAAATGTTGCGCGACTTATGAATTCATTGCAATAATAATTTTGTTTTCTAAATACTGTATTATAATATACAGTATTATTAGTAATCAATTGGCCTGTTATACTTTGTCAGTATTGTTCATTATATGTGGTGTTTATTGAAATTTTATTTTCATAACAAAATAAACTGGGAAATTTTAATCACTTTATTTTTAAAAAGATTAATGAATTGTGAATTCCTGGAAATATCATAAAAGATCTACGAAAATTATAATAATTTAAAAATATCCTTGGTTATTGGCAACTAATCATGTAATAAATAAAATAATAAATTTTTTTTCATTTATGAAGTATTTAAGTGTTAATAAAGAATTAAATATATTAAATTATATTGTAATATCTTAATAATAATATAATTTATTTGCATATATTTTAATATTTATTGTAAACAAAATAAAGGTTTTTATTATTAAATAAATTAGACCCAGTATTGATTAATAAACGGTTAACTAATTCACTCGATATAAATGGTCTTAAACTATTAGTATATTGCAAAAATAAGCAATCTTATAATATTATACAGAATATAGCAGTTTATTTAATATAGATTTACTTATTATTAAATAATGCAATCACGCGTTGCATAAACTGTGAATAAAACATAATGTTCAACATTCAGTGCAACTATAAATAAAAATTGATATTAAAACCGTACGAAATGCACTATAAGAGTTTTATTCGGACTATTGTAATTTATAAAAACAATTTTATAAATAAATTTTGCAAAATATAAAACAGTTAAATTCAATAATTATTAAAAAGTGAATATTAATGAAATATAAAATAATTTTATAAAAATTTTATGTCAAATTGTAATGTAAAAATGTAAAATTGATTCGAGTTTAAATGTTATGATCACTTTATGAGGCTTTAACAATGTTTATATGCTTACAATGCAAGAACGGGAAGTGATCACGCTAATTGCAATTAAAACCGAGTGAATTATACTCGTATGGTATGGTATAATAGGACTGCCCAGGCCCGGTAATCTAGCGGAATGTCCTTGG